GATTCCAGGCTGATGTGACAGTGGTTGAATCAATAATTACAATTTCTCTTTCTCATATGCACTCAAAAAGCTTGGTAGTGCTTTTGCAGCTAAATATTCGAGCCTAAAATTATGACGCTCGCTTCAACTTATCCGGCGATCTCCAGTTAACGTTTCTATTCCTACAAACACGTTAAATCGATTCAAATCCGTGATACCTCCCTCATACTGGTCTGGTGCACGTCTTTGTCATGGTCTGAACCCACTTCGCTGAAATTTGTTCTTTTAGTACACTAAATACCTTAATTGTATCGAAAAGTCGTAATTCACGTTTGGTATACTTTGGCTGAGAATGGCGGCTAGGCTATCCCGCACCAGGCCCTTTGGGTTTTTTTTATTTATCATACATGATTCATTCATTTATCAAGCGATTATTAACATTCTTCCACGCAATTATGGGACTTAAGAGTTGCCGTTGTCATGTGTGTGATCGATTTTTTTCTCAGCAGATGTGACCCAGTACAAATCGGGTCATGTATTGATTTGGACCTTGTTATAAGTCTCGATTTAATGGAACAATAAAGCAATGCCGATTAATAGGATGTATTCACTCTGTTCATTCAAGGTGATGAATGACTGGTAGTTGAATTTTCCCACAATGACGAGTAGAACTGATGCCTCCATTGAATTTCACACAGCCTTGCTTTCCCAAAAGGTGCTCTTATCCAGGGTGGACAGCGTTTTCAACCTTGCCTAGGCCTTGTCAAAACCCCCAGCGAGAATAGAACCATGACCGTGCAGCGTATACTCTCGACACGTTAGCCACAAGGCCACGAGTTCTCTTGGGTCACAGAGAAGATGTGGATTTCAAAACAGCCCAGGCATTTTGGCGTATCACTTTTTCTGGTGGGATTGTCGATGAAGCAAAGTTATATTTGCTATAACACTCGAGCACATTACTTATTTTTCGTTTATAAGAAGGTTTTCGGAAATACCAGTAAGTCGGTTTTTTGAGATGGCTTTATCTGCAGCCACTCTTCAGTAAACATTTAGACAAAGCATAGGATCCGAAAGTCTCGAAACCCTAGTTAAAAACGAAAAATAAGTAATGCAGCCAATAGTTATAGCAAATATAACTACCTCATCGGCAATCCCGCGAAAAAATGTGATATGGGAAAATGCCTGGACCTCCTTGAAATAAACATCCTCCCTGTAACCCAGGCCGCATTCTGACAGTGGTTAACGTGTCTAGACTACACGCTACATTGCCATGCTTCGACTCCTGCTGAGGGTGTTGAAAAAACCTAGGCGAGGTCGAAACTGCAGTCCATTCTGGGTGAAAAAACCTTTTTGGAAAGCAATGCAACGTGAAATTCAATGGAAGCATCAGCTCTTTTCATGTCAGTAGTAAAATTTAACCACCAGCCCTTCATCACGTTAAACGAAGTAGGGTCAATACAGCTCATATAACTGATTTACTGGTAGTCTAAACCCTAATAATAAACGAAAAATGTCGATCTATCTTCTTGTGTAATGCGTTCTTCATCATTAGTGCTGAATAATTTCAAGGCAGTGTAGTCATAACTGCGAAAAAATAACATTCGGATGAAGTGGTTGCCTTTAATGCACAAAGGCGTTAATACTTTTTATGTAGATCAATACGGGATTTCCCATTTCCCTGTAGGAAAATATAGACAAGTCAATTGCACTGTCTCATATGTTGAATAAAGTATTGATAATTGAGTTTATCAAAATTATGATAAGTAGGCAGCACAGTCCTATTTAAATTATCTTAGCCTCGTCCCCCAAGATGCTATATCATTCAGACTGAGCAGCATTTTCGACTTCAGCTAGATCTAAGCACCCAAAAGGATTCAGTACTGAATTGTAACGTGGTGGCATTGCCATCACGCTACATGCGCGCTGGTGTTAAGGAGCAACAGGAT